GGGAGGTTCATTTCCTCTCTCTGCTTTTCTGCCATTTTGTCATTAGTATTGTGATACACTTGTGGTGTCGTTTGAATGCTTTTGTGGGATTAGGATTTTTGTGGGGGGATTTTTTGTTGGGTTTTTTTTCTTGAGGGGGGGGGTGGTTGTTGGTTGTTTTTTATGGGGAGGGTATGTATCTTTGAGCACAAATGCTATGTTTGAAACAGTCTTACTTGTAGAACACAATATTTATCTTCGTGTGTAAGTTTGTTTTTTCTTTTAGTAGAGGTTTTACGGCGCTCTCAACTGCATAAGGTCGTATGAGTGCCAGTGCATAAATTTAGAGAAAAAAAAACGCATACACGTACTTAACTATAACTTTAAGATATAAGGCCTACCTGGATCAACGTAGTGGCTGAGTGTGCTCTTTGGGAGCTTCCCCTGCTTCGTTCGTTCTTTCGCCTTCGTTGTTTTCTCTACGACTTGGACGTAGTTGTTGTTTCTTCCCATTTTCTCCAACTTCTTCTGGATCCATGGAGCCGGGGTCCAGATGATCTGCCTCTGGGTGGCGTTAGTTGTCAAGGGTGCTTTTGTGTACCAGCTGATTACCTGCCCCTTCGCCTGACTCTCTTGGCCACGCCATTCTGTTATTATTCCCCCCTGAGGCAGTGATTTCCTGGTCGTGAAGATGGGTGGGAAAATTTCTTTTTGCACATGGTTCTCAGTCTGTGCTTCTGGGATGTTCTGGTGATGCGCTTCTGTGGGATAGTCAGGCAATTTTTGCACCGATATAATCATTTTATGATCACCATTGTTTGAATCGGTTCTGGTCACCCCTCGGTGGACGTGTCGGGGCGAGGCAACACGTGGCGTTGTTGTTGGGGGGAGGGCTATTATGTCAACGTCATTATCGCGATTATCGGGTACCGTGTAGGCGGTCTTTTCTTCTTCCTTTATAGCACAATCGTCCCATCGAGAGCCCTCTGGTACACAGTTCAAAGCACCGTTACTCCAAACTTGTCCAGATGGGCAGGAAGGCATGGCCAAAGGTTGCCCGAAGTGGCAGATATAGTATTGATCACAAAACACCGGGTCTCTTACCCACTTGATGGCCTCCATATTTACACAAGGGAAAACCAGCAGCCGCTGGGATTGGGAAGGTATCGAACAAAACATGAGCAGTCCTAATAACGCTAGTAGAAGCTGGCGAGCGCCTATTTCAAACAGTTTTGGGGAATCCATTATAGTAACGCGTATCGTTCTTGGGTGCACGGGATATCCGGAATATGGCCGTTATATTATGCAGTGCAATAACCGAGTAGATCCAATCTAAGTCCTTCTCTTGCTGAACTATACACCGAGATTATTCAATGAAAAGTTGAACTTGAGGTGGAGTCTTGAAAAAGACAAAGTGGAATTATCTTTTCTCTTATTCTCTCTGGCGTTTAAAGTTGTCCGCAAGGAATACTGAAATGTTCTATGAACGTCAAGCGGTGTGAACTTCCCTCCGTGGCATCGAAGAAACTATTTCATGATACGGAAAGCCAAGCTGTCTCTTTTATACCTCGGACGTAATCTCCCTAGCACGTGAGTGCAGCCAGCAGAGCTTTAACTTCCGACTCGACACTTCGCATTAGCGTGGGCCCCCTTGCGTCACAGTAAGAGCAGTTTTTGCGTCCAGTCCGTTGCCAAAAGCACTCCCCTTCAGCCCCGCTCCAGCCCGCTCCACGACAAATCGGATTTTAAACAGTGAGGATCAACAACAAATTTGCTCGCCTGTGTGCACTGTCAACGCCACGAGGATTCCGGGCAAAGGATGCTCTCCTGTGGCCTTTCATTCCGCGAAGCTTAGGCTTCTCGCGCGAAATAGGGCCGCCACATCTCGTGACCTTGGAGTGGACGCCAAAACGCTGAACTTGAAATTTTTTTAATGCTTGATGTTCTAAGCCAGCTTGTTTTCTTGGCGTGCAGTGAGATTTTTAGTTAGCTTTCTATTATCCTGATGCAGCACGCGCTGGATGCAACAACCTTTACTTTCTGCTTTCTGATGGCCGGTTTTTTTTTCACGGCATTTCCCAGTGCTACTCACACTTTAAAGCTAAACATATTCACAACAGACATAGAAAAAAATTGTGTCATGCCATACAGATTGCAAAGCCATGAGTAATAACCATGCAGAAGTGGTAATATCTTTGTTTACGTTGGCGCATCAGCCAAGAGACTCCTATCCTTTCCCCGGGACTTTCCAACGACCCTGAGCATTCTTGTGACCTGTCTGTGGGTGTTTGATAAAACACTTGTGAGGCCAGATCACGAGCTGCAAGGGGACAAGAAGCCAACTCGCCTTGGAACGCGGTAGCGGAACTACATACTTTTCATGTGACGTTCAAGGTCTCTGCTTTGATCGCTTACCTTGTGCCGGCATTCATTAAAGGTCTTGAATTACTTCCTTTTCCTCAACAATCAAATAGAAGAGAGTTCTAATTTTAGCACATGTTTTGACCAATTAACTAAAAACTACGAGACGAAAAAAGACTGCGTGCCTGCGACGTTGATATTAGGGCAGATCCTGGCGGTGACTTCACAGACATGTAGTGAAGGCACACAGGCTGTCTATTCTTGGGAGCTAATCAAATAATTAGCTTGAGAAATCAGCCTGTGAAATGAGCTTCATTTCCGTTACCGTTTCTTTTCGTGTTTCTGTGACCTGCAACTTTTTAATTACCAGAATTAACTTTGGAAGGGCAAAAAGATTGGCTACGGGGAGCCCTGGTCAATAACGAAAAGAAACAGTGGATATCCATAATTACAGATACTGCCTATCAACTGATGTATTTAAATTGTCTATACCCTTGTCAAAAGAATCTAGATTACTTAAGAAGTAGACGGTTTCCATCTCAAGAGTGAGGGCCAACTAGACAGTGTGTTGTGATGAAGGTGCTGATTCGAGGACTTTTACCGCTTTGAGACGCATGGTTTATTTTTAACGTTTACATCGCCCAGTCTTTGCTAGCAAAGAAAGAGTTGTTTCAGTCATTGTGTGGGTTTTGCTACATTTTGCTCAGTACTTTTAAACTATTAAATACAATACTTTAGTATTGTGCATTTTTGAAAGGTAATTGGACAGTCTATCTTCTGAAGTGAAAAGCAAGAAATTTAGAGATCATTTTAGATATTTTACAGACAACGGGGGAAAAGGTAACAATTATAATAAACAATAACATGCAAATATTTATAAACAAATGAACAATTCAGGCAAATTTAAAGCCCGTTCAAAGTTATTGTAATGCAGTGATAAAAATTCGTGCGGTGTACGTAATAAGCTCAACACGGTTGATGTAATCGGCTAACGTTATACCGGGTGCGCATTGCGAATGGGATCGGGTCGGGTCGGGTCGGGTCTGGTCGATCGCCCGACTCGCCGCACGGGGTGCCCACT